GTGCTAGAAATTCAACGAACTCTATACAAAGGTATAACATGTTTTTTTGAAATTGATGCTCGATGTTGAAATAATTTTTTTATGTAATTTATGGGGAAAAATTGGCCGTAAAAGCTCAGTTTTTGTTAAAAACTCACAATTTCGTAGAAGTATATTTTCTGCTAGGAAATTTCAAAGAAAGTTAATATATAATAAAATAAGCAATGTCAAATTGATTCCAGTTGTCCAAATAAACAGAAATGGTGGTAAAAAGCTGAGTTTTAGTTAACAAAAATTAACAAATTTTTAGAGACATCGATTTCAATGAAATAGATATGAAGTTTTTTATGAAGTCTTTAAACTGAATTCGTTGGATGTGTACTGATTGATATTAAGTTTTGGAAAACCTGGCTGATTTATCAGTTCAAGTTGGCTTTATACTAGTATAGCTTACAGTTATAGCGAGAACCTTGTGATTTTTGTTTCTTTGTAAGGTTAATTTGTATGGGCTACTTGTCGTTCGGATGGGTCAAGCCCTTTCCAACTGATTTTTACTGTTGTTCTCATGTTTTGCTAACCCAGGCTAGGGGGAAGTTAGTTTCTCAAAAAAGATGTTTAACCTCGTCACTTTCTTTGTGTATATATCCCAAGTCAGGAGCATGTAATTCCGTGATTGTCGATGGCTGCTGTATGCCATATTTGTTATTTTGCTTTGTTTATTGTTTAAAATATAAATAAGGTAGTTGGTTTTCTGTTTTGACCTGTTTTACCTATTGCCATTCTCGGGCGTTTAAAGCTTACTATACGGTATGGGTTTTGCTCTTCTCATTGGTGAAGGCGTACGGTTACCTATTGTTGTTGATATCTTCTTGCTTTTGTCTTTATAGGACAGCTGTCTTATTGGCAATCATCCCCTCATGTTTATATTGATGGAGATTTTTATGGCTGTTGGTATTAAGCGCTGATGACAATTGAGCGGTTGGATGCTTCTTGAAGCCTTTCGTTCACCCAATCAATTATCTATTTCACTATATTCTTTTTTATTTTAAACATTAAAATAATCTCACAAATATACCACATAAACTTCTATCCATAACATACAAAACATATACATATATATAAAATACTTTTCTTTTGACTTTTTATCAAAAGTTAAAAGACAATAATCTTATCTGTTATGGCAACTTTAATCTCTTTAGATTTGAGCATGTGTGAAATTCTGGTAATGATACGTATCAATGAACCATATATGATACTAAAAAAAAGTTAATCAACACAACTTCTGACTAAAAATAAAGTAAAACAAAATCTCGTTTTTAAGTTTGTGTTTTCTTAATCTTCAATCATTTGTGTATTCAAAAGTACTACTGTAATTTACAGTTATGTTGGTCAAATCTAAGACATATTCACTGTTTGCAAACTTTGAGGGAATAGATCAAAACTGAAAGTCACAATTTTAACATTTTTTTGCATATGGTCTAGTTAAAAAAAATGCGTACAACGCACGATATTGACGAAGTGGTGAAGCTGATGGCATAATTGATTACAGATGAACAGAAACTAACATTTCCCTCGCAAAAACAAAATTTTAAATTGGGAGGGGCACTTTTTACACCCAAAATTTGTATAATAATCCTTTTCTTCTTTAATCAATTCAACATCCAATAAAACAGAAATGCATTTAATTTCAGAACATTTTAAGCATTTTTATATGAGCCCTCAAAGTTAGACCCCCATTAATCTCAATGGAAGTTTTGCAAGACTTCTTTGAGTAGTATATTAAAGAATGATGTTTGTGCATTTTAGCATATGTCAATATGTATACGATGAAAAATGAAGCACGATTAAATGTCCTTTTAACAAATATAAAAATAAGGAGATGTGGTATGATTGCTAGTGAGACAACTATCCACCAAAGTTCAAATGAAGCGGATGTAAGCAATTATATGCAACCGTACGGCCATTCATGTTCATTCAAAGCGATGTGACGATCAAATCATAAGTGAATATAAAGTTTACAATGTTTTTAATTCTGTACTCCCTTGACAAGACCCGTTTGGCTTCTGTAGCTTTCTAGATCGTCGATGGAAGGAAAACGAACCATTAAAACTTCGCTGAGCTCCTGTTGATGGCACTGACATTGTAAAGCGTCTAACAGATTGTTTATACCGATTAACACAAAACATTTTGTCGAACAAGACGTTGAATCCACTTCGAAAAGTTTTGTTCATATAAAAATAAATTATTGGGTTAGAACCACAGTTACTAAAGGCCACGAAATGGAATATTAGCCACATAATATGTGCATGCATATGATTGTACAATTCTGGGTTGACGTCACCACAAATTGTCAGCACATGAAGAGGTAGCCAAGTCAATGCATAGGTTATAACAACAGCAAACAACATCTTTAAAGTCTGGAATAAAAAAAATATATACATATTAATATTAAGTAAAATATTTACAACATTTTTATTTCAGTACAAAATAAATATATAAATAGCTTAAAGGAATGGTTGAGCGCTCATAAACATGTTAAACCCCGCCTCTTCTTTATATGTCTGTCCCTGGCCAGCTGGAACCTGTACTCTGTGGGTTTTGGTTGGTTGCTGTCTGACTTAGTTTTTTCCATTGGTTGCTGTCTGCTTTAGTTGATTTTCATTGTTTACTTTTAAATAGTTTTAAATTTCATCGTACAAGGCATTTTATAGCGTACTATACGATACATGTATGTGATTGGTCACTTTTGAAGACTGTACGGCGACTTGGGATTTTTCACATCTTTTTCCTTTGGTCTGTATGGATAGTTATCTCTTTGGCAATCATACCACGTATCCTTGATTTTATATTTCAGAAATCATTAAAACTTAAATGAGAGGTTTCAATGAAAGACATGTTTTTTTTATTTCCTGTTGGGCATGGAAAACCCGAGTTATAAGTCTAAAAATAAAATTAAAACCTAAATTATTTCAATACAAGAGTATTCTAGAATTTGAAAGATTTCTATTTGGGGTGTTAGTAGTTGTTGAGAATTAAAGGCGTGTGTCGAATTCTGAAATTCTAAATAGTAAAACTTTGTCCAACATCCATGTGAAGCACTAAATAACATTTTAATTTGTTGTCATATGTAAAATTTGTGACACGTCGTCGTCAAGTATATTATTTAAATTATCCAACATTCAACTTAAAATATGTTTCAAACAGTTTCTGTTTACTTTTACCATCCGATTGAAATGAATACATCAGACATTTGGTCATACCCCACGGATATGTTACCAGTATTGACTAATAATGAAGAATATCATTAAAAAAGTTAGCAATTTTGAATTGTCACAGTGTCTGTTGAAAAGAAAATAACTTTCTTGTGAAATATTTTAGTGCTGTTTTTTTCAAACATTAACCTGCCTATTAAATTAAATTATCCTAGTTTTGGTACATTTGAGAATGTAAGTTTTCAATTCCTCTTTTACCCTTATACATGTATTTTGCTTGCAACAGGAATGTAGTGTTATTATTATAGGACAAGGTTATAAAGTTCCTGATCAGTATGACATCGTACTTCTTTTTTTCTTTGACAAAAAAACACATTTAAAAGTTAGCAATGTAATTTTCTAATCAAGCACACCGGTTGCGTGACAAGTAATCATCGACAAATGAGTATGAATGGCGGTGTTGTTTCTCTAATGTTTTAATGACTATCTTTTCCGTGCTTAGACCTTTTTTTCACAAAATATGATAGAGACATTAACATTTGTTAGTATCAAGAATAACACATAGCTGAGAGGTTAATACTCGGATAAAAAAACATGGTAAACAAAGGCCAAGGGTACAATGTCTTTATTGTAACAATATTCTCTCTCAACTTCTCAGCTGTGTGTTATTTTATTTATCATACTGAATGTTCTTTTAATTTATTGACATATTTTTTACCAGTTAATAAGAGAGCGCAACAATTACAAAATTTATACCCGCTGATTCATTTGCAAGATTGGTGGATGGATGGCTGTTTAACGTTCAGTGTCAAATTAAATGCACATTCAGTAAAACCCTGCTTTGTACTAGACCCACAAACTGAGTCAAACTTTGAATACGCTAGTTCACAAGATAACATTCACCCTACCCGGACACATTATTCCGATTCCGAGCAGACCAGTCTTTACTTTTTTTCTTTTAAATGCCGCGTATTAAAAAGTGGAGAAGCAACAATTTATTGAAACACTGATTTCAATCTTTGATTTGACCCGACCGGGGTTTGAATCCACGATCACCCGTAATCGAGACGAGCACGCGCAAACGAGACCATGACTTAGAGAAGAATGTAACCTCATGTTCACAGAATAATTGCTCTTTTCTAGATTTACATATTTCAATTTCACCCGGATAACTTAAAACAAAAAATTACGACAAAAGACGATTTTTCGTTCTTTATTGTTGATTTAACTTTTTTGGACGACAATGTTCTTTTGATCACTTCTAACGGTGTGTATATTTCGCAAATCGTTCGCTATGAGCCTGTCTGATGTTACGTTTTAGATTTTAATGAACGTAATCTTAGTATAACTGGTGAATTTTTAAGTCAGGGATTTCATTACCATAAATTATTCAAAACTTTTACAACATTCTTCCTTGAAAGATACAAAATCTAGTTTGGAAGTTTGGCTGCACGTGAAGAATTCTTATTACCAACGGAAAGGGGTATCACATCCTAATTGTTACGGTAAGGTTGTTTATTAATCCCGTAAAATTAGATACGATCCAACTAAACTCATTTATCCTTTGAAAAAACTTAATTTTTAAGATTATCAATTTAACACTGAAATTAGATCTTTGAATTAAAAATGTTCTTATCGGTACTAACATTAATTTTGTTTTTAATAAGTTAAAGTACATAATTACATATGTATCGCTATACAGATACGGAAACTTGTATCAGATAGTTGTCTCATTGGGAAGCATACCAAATCTCCTTATTTTTATACAGTTACTCAAAAAAAATGTATTAAAATTTAGTATTCAACATTTTAATCAGCCTTTACTTCATCTGCTTGAATAATATAATAAATAGAGGTCTAAAAGGAATACCAAAAGTGTCTAAATCATAATAAGGAAGCTTGATATCTACATACTAGAGCTGAATGCTTGGTTTGTAAAAATTCTTAAATTATCAATGGAAACTTTTGAATGCATTCAGTTGATAAACCATACGTTATCAAGAACTTCTAATTCGAAAACGTTACTTTCATAGTTTTTTCTCATTTTTTCTTGAAATTTATATAACTCGATGGTATGTTGTCAAAGTTTAAAATATACAATGTACATGCACAAAGTATTAGTCGTCCGGAAGCCAAGTCTACACAGTCTTTATAATCAGATTAGTTGTTTACGACGCCGAGAGAAACTGTCTGCTTCAAATGCATTCCGGATCACTAGAAACTGGACATGAAAATAAAAATACTCCTGGACCATCATAAATTACCATATAGATATTTTACGCTACCTTTAATTTAAATAGTCCGACGGCTTCTAAAACGTACGATTCTATAAACATTCATGCTGAAATTATGAATTATTCATTTTCGTCTTATCAACAAGTCTCCAAATTCAATAATATTTGTCTGTAAACCACTAATATATCATGGTTCTCGTTAAAAACAATATTCATCCAATTTGACCTTCATAAGCGATATATTTTCGTTTATTAGAATATTGTTATTTATATCTACACATAAATGTAGCATTGCTAGATATATTTTAAAGTCAAAGATGTTACAGACAATTAGATATTGTAACTACTAGGATTGTCTTGTTATATGACCCTACCCGGACATACCAAAGACAGAGAATCACAAAAATACAACTGCGATGGTTGATATTTCCCCTCGACTGAGAATAGTCGTAGTACTTTAAAACACCAGGTCTAGAGCGACTTACTAGTACGACACAGGGCTTAGATAAAATTATTACGGTCTATAATTGGATATAGTCAAATGACTATCCGTTTAAACGTTGTCAAACGATGTTCGACTTCAAATGGGGGAACTTATCCGCAAAAACGTGATCAAAATGCTTTCTTTATTTTGTAATCCATTCTTATAGACTTGAGGATGCTTGTTTTTTTCTCTCTGTAATATGTCGAATGTGTTTGTCCCTTTGGTTAAACATCGAATATCTAAATATAAAGGGTTTATTTAGTTGATGGAATAGGAAGACCACACAGACAACAAAAAAAAGCCGGGAGCAAACATACAAATAAAGGATAACAATTCATTGAAATCAATTTCATCACGCTTTAGGAAAAAAATATATCTAAATTATATCGGAGAACAATTGTTGTTGGTAACAAATATTGCATTTATAATGATGTATCTGTTAGTATAACCTGTGTCTGAGAATATCGTCAGTCTATTAAGTCAGATTAATTTGAAAGCCTTAAAGAACATTGACTCTAATTTAAAGACAAATTATTTTCTGCTTTCACTTCTACGTCCATTAAGTTTCAGTCCTTCATTTATTTTAGTTTATTTAGCCTACGGAAATATTTCAGTCGTCCCTTTTTCTAACAAATTTTTAACGTTTGCGTTTAAAATAATATCGCGAAGATTTGATTTTCAGTGAAGATCAGGAATAAGAACCCCCCTTCCCAAAAAAAATAAATACAAAAAACAATATAAAATCACGAAAATATAAATTACTTAAGAGTATAATTTACTCATTTATTTTTATTTTGAAAGGCTAATTGCATTTCAAATATCGTGAACATAGAAATCAAATGGGTACTAAACAAAAAAAAGACAAATAAATATATGATTGCCTATATTTGAAAATTTAATCAATTTGTAAACATTAAAGAAGCTAAAAACTGCAATTTTGATTGAGTTTTGTTTTAATTGCGACTTTTCATTTTTGAAAAATATCTAAAGATTAATATGTAAAATCGTCAAATTAAAATACTGATACGTTTTGAAACCCTGTCTGAGCACCAGGTCTCGTTCATTTTGGAGTTCATGAGATTCCCTCTGTTGTTAGTTACCCTGATTTTTCTTCTTAATCGATTAATGAGATTTACACATCGGTTAACTACTGTTACCTAATTTGACCATGTAAGGGACACAGATAAAGGGGAAATTAGCCCTTTCTTTTTGTTTAACTGTCACAAGAAAGGGGGAAAATATACAAGTGGTTCCATGTTACATGACTGCGTTAAAACATAAAAATGAATGGCTAGAATAAGGCAACACTTAACAAGATAATGAAAAGATGAAAACGTCAAATTTAAAACATTGTAAAAAGTAATATTAAAAAATGAGAAGTTCGTACCTTTCTTTTAGAAGAGGCTATCCGCATATCCCGAGTGCTGTCAGCCTCTCCGGGGGGCTGTTTTATCCAAATCATGTAGCCTATATGAGTGTAAGTACACATTAAGATGAATAATGGTACAAAGTATTGTAGTAACATGATGAATAAGCTGTAAATGTATCTGGACTGATGACTCTCCCACATTTCCATACACAGTCCGTTCGAGCCTGGTTCAAATTGTAAGTATATGATTTCCGAATGTATTGCAGTAGGTAAAGCAACAATCATCGAAGACATCCAGAAAATCAAAATCATAACTCTGGCTCTTGGTTTTGAAATTCTTTTCTTTAGAGGTTTTGAAATAACAATGTGACGGTCACAGGCAACAGCCACCATGGTCAATGACCGCTGTACAACTGCAACAAGTTGAAGATATTGCACTAAGGGACACATCACGTTTCCAAAAGGCCAATAATGAAAAATAATATTGCTCATAACGGTAAATGGTATACAAACAACAGTCATCAAGATATCGCTGAATGATAAACTAGCCAGGAAAAAATTTGTTACAGTTCGAAGTCTTTGAACTGTAAATATTGTATAGCATACCACAAAGTTCCCTCCAATGCTCACAAAAATCATAAAACCATACAAGCAAAGGAGCGTCACAATAAACGAATGAGGCAAGGTATACGGTTCGTAAGTTATGATTGTTCCGTCGAATTCTGAGGTATTGTATGTCATATTTCTTGTTTGGTTCAGTAAACGCGATATATTTCTATTCATTAAAGAAATTCTTCCCTGCATCAGTTTACAGCTGAAACCTCATTTAGAGTGTGTCCTTATTCGTCTGATTTTGTTTGTTTGAATGGAAAAGTCCGTCTTCATATCGTTTCCCTTGTAGAAATTAGCACCTATGAAGACTACATATTTACACTTCCTCTTCATACCCTGCTTTGAAATAAAATGAAAACATTTATTCCGTACATTTCCAAAGAAAAACCCCACTTATAAATAAATCGATCGAAGAGTTTTAATTTATCCTTATATATATTATTATATATGTTATATACATGTTTTAGCCACAATCAATCTCAAAAACCGCAGAAAAACTTCATCTTATAATCATGTAAATTTGTGCTGCTGTTATTGGGTAATTGCATAGGCTGAAATAGCATTGCCGTTGTTTTATGAAAATGAAATAAATAAGCAATGCAGCTGTAAGTTAAACACCAGAGAGTGACAATGCAATGCACACCATGTGGGATTGTCTTATAAAAATTAGACATCGATTATCTACAAATGAGAAAAGAAATATACAGTCGCAATTGAAGTCGCAAAAAGTTGTGTTTTTATAAAGGAGGCCAGGAAAATAAGGATTTAGGAATAAGTTAACTTTTGGTCGCGGACATCGGTGGTAGTTATCTTTTCTCATGTCTCAATTTGTATGTTTGTGTGTAAGTGTATTTGATGTTGATAACAGAAGAAAAAAAAATAGTATATTCCTTTTTTTATACTTAGACGATTTAGAGTTGGAATTATTGTATAGTCACCAGTCATTTTCAAAATCCGTGTGTCTACCTCTAAAATTTTATTTTTTTTAGTTGTTGTGTTGCTGTCTCATTGACACATTCCGTTCATCTTCTTTTTATTAATATTGATAACATGCAAAATTCAAATCCATCCATAAACAGATAAAATTAATGTTATTTCCAGCTAAAACAGGTCTACTCTAATTTAGGGGATAAAAGGACTATTGTTCAACGAACAAACTTAACCTAGCTTGTCTAAGGTATCTATTAATTAATTTGAAGCAACGCAAGTATTTTAAAACGTTGTTGGTAACTTTGACAAAGAAAGTTGTTAGGGAATCATCATTAACAGCTTTTCGGGGATATTTTTATCAAATTTCTGCTCCGTTTTGCTATTTGGAGATCTGCGCCGCTTGTCCCGAGAATCTGCGCCTCTTGAACTATTGACGTCATACAACAATCACTTTTCCAGTGTGGAGTCGATATTTTACGAGAACCTTGGTGATGTCCAGTAATGGGGGACAAATACGATAAGGTGTATTGTTAACCTTGCTGCAGATATTGTTCTGTAACAGATATGAAGTATTTGACCTTGAAAATGCATAAAAACTTGTAATTCTGTAATGAGTGGTTACAGTTCCGTTTTGTTACTACAGGTCAAACTTTTGATCGAGAATTGGTTTTTTTTCTGAATAGATTTTGTTACTCACAAAATAAACAAAAATTAAATTGCAGCCTGTGTTTCAGTGGTTGTCGTCTGTTGTCGTATATCATGCTTGTTTTTCATGCATTGTGTTTACATAAACCAGGACGTTGGTTTTCTCGTTTTTATTGTTTAACATTTTGTCATGCTGAGGCCTTTTATAGATAGCTATAGAGTATGGGTTCTACTCATCGTTGAAGGTTATAAGGTGACCTTAAGTTGTTTCATCTACGTCATTTGTCTCTGATGATAGCTATCTTATTAGCAGTCATACCACATCCTCTAATTTTATACATTGTTCTGCTAATATGTATGGTATTGCTAGGATATTCCCTAATGATTGTTGTTTGGGATCCTGTGCAAATTTGTTTAAAGGCTAAATGTTGAAAGTAAAACTAAATTCATATTGCCTATTTCATTAGTAGTTGGAAAAATGTTATTTGCATAGTATCCAATACCAGTATAAATATTATACAAACAGTGTAGCCAAGGAAAAACAGAACGACATCTTATCATCTTTAAAGTCATATGAAACGAGTTTCTTGAAATTATAATGTAAAGAAAATTATTGAACTAATGCTAAGTTCTTTATGCACGATTTTTTTTACATTTGTTATGAATCCATAACATAAAATCGACAAACAATATTTCATTCTGTGAAAACTGTGCCGGCTAATTAACTTTCAAAATTATGAAGCACGTGAAAAATAAGTGGGATGATTAACATGCAATAGGGCGATGTTTTGTTTTTTTTATTTTCCATGCGTTTTTTTGTTTGTTTGTTAACTAAACTTTGTCACAATAGTTGTTAAATGATTTAGTGTATTTTAGTTTTCTTTTAGAATCAATTAACAGTATCTAAATTCCACGTAGGTTTGCCTTTTTCCTCATCACGGTAATTCTCTCGCACTTTCGCTGAGCAGTTGCTAACGAGAGATCTCGCGGAAAGGTCACTGCATACGGAAAAGCTATCGGCGAAAAAGAGTACGGGAAAACAATAATTCAATAGCAGTACATTTTTTAAGTTTTTGTTAAGATAAAGGATTTTCTTTTAAAAGAAATTCCATGAAACATGTTTTATAGTAAAACTTAGCTATTCAAGTAAATAAGATATATTCAACTTTTTTTTCAAATGTGAAGTATCATAAAAAAATAATGTAGAAGAAAATTGTCAAAATAATTTGCCTGGTACAGATATCTTCAAGATGACGTCTGCCAAGTTCATCAATTACATTTGCACATCCTTGGATTCACAATTTTTTTTTTTAAAAGCAAAACTCTCGGCGATGTTTCAAATTATTGAAGAGAACACATTCTGTCTGTTCCATTTATGTGACGTTAACAGTCTTATTAATTGTCGTTCAATTCGCTTTATTCTTTCAATGCCAAAAACTTTCTTTTTTTTTCCATTTTGTATATAAAGCCTTAGTTGACGTTGACAATGAAAGAACATTGTATTAGATATCGGTTTGTCAAATGTTTTTCGTTAAACCAATATGGACAATTTGGGAAAACAATTATGAATCATTATGATTGAAGCAATTTGGCATTCTTTTGTATTGTGAATGTCATTCTACGACAAATATAACAATAAGAAGATGTGGTATAATTGCCAATGAGACAACTCTCCACCGGAGACCAAATGACATAGAAGCTTATATCAATTTGAAAAAATATCCTTAGTCACACTTCCGAAATTCCTTATTTGCGGTTTTTTCTGTACACTTAGGTAAATTATCCATTTGTGCTAATCTATTGAGACCCGTTGCGAAACACATTATTCTAATAGATTTCTTATCCGAGTGCATATCTATTTTATGTTTAAGTTTAAAAATTCATCTACGACAAATGTCTTTCTTGTTAAGTAGAAAATGATATTGTTTTGTCAGTATTTTCATTTTCGAACAAACACATTTTACCCAACATTAATACAGATATCTAATTTGTCGGAATAAGTTCTTTTAAACCGCTGTATTGGTAGGTTATTGAGTCAATGACATATGATTTTCCAATCTAAAATCTTACTTTATTAATAAATAGATAACTTTGAATATGTTTCACATTTATATATAATATTTTACTTTTTATTGATTCAAAGAAAATGATGTAATCATATTTGAAATTTTAGATTAAAAATTAGTTACATATATAGTGCATATCAATTTCAGACCACTTTTTGAGATTCTTTCATTTTGTCAGTAGAAATCTATGCATAATCTCATTACATTGAACAGTTGCTTAGCAATATTGCAGAATTTAAGCATCTCTTTCCTTCATTCAATAGAGTTGATGTGAATCTTCAAAAAGATTTTCACGTGACATTTTTGAATCAGCAAAAACGTCAAATACAAGTTTTGCTTTGAATGGTACGTGGTATTCCTTGTTTTCGATCGTGACATGAAAAATATATCATTTAAGTACGTTCATACTTACTGGAGGTACGATCGTAATTGAAAACGCTTCTAGGAAGAATATACTGAAAGCTACTACTGGACATTACAAGGTTCCCATTCTATATTACATAAATATCCCTATTTATTCCGTTTTCGTTTTATATTTTGTTCTTCTTACTTATGCCCTGACCGCCTGGTACCGTCAAGAAACTCGTTTGCGGTATTGGAATAACTACGCTCGCTAAAAGGTAAGTTTGTCTCTACACTCTTCCGATAAATCTGGGTTTAACCTACTACATGTTTATCTGCTGGAGTTGCTACTATTCTTTTTTCAGTTATACAACTCACAAAAATGCACAATTTAGAAATGCAAAGAAATTGTTAAATAAGTAGTTTGATGCTATCTTAATCAAATGCTTACACTATTTAGCAATAATGTGTTTGGTATAAATATACCACCAGGTGATTGTAATTCCGATCGGTACAAACCGTTCCCCTTACATTTTAGTTATGTTTATCGCAAAACTTCATAAAAATCCAACGAATGACGACTTGATAGATTTCATTGACAATACCTGTTCATAATAAGACGATATATTTTCTGTATACAATGCAGATTTTCCTTAATATTCCGATGCTATTTATACACCTTAATTCGTTCATACCGCATCAAAAATTAATAGTAACTAAAATTGAATTTTGTAGAGCTTAATAATAGAATTTATTATGGTAATCTTTATACGAAAATGTATGATAAACGTTACGTTACTACCTTTCGTTCTGTTATGTTATTTCCGGGATGTTTCATTAGCTTCTTCATACGGACATTTTGCAGATGGTTCGATATGCGCGTGTTTAAAGTAGTTTGTAGCGTTTCTTATTTATATTTTAGCGTTACATCTTTTATTACAATCATATATAGATTTCATGAATCATTATGGGTCAAAATGTTAACTTATTTATATCACAACTGTAATGATTTATATAAGGAGTATGAATCCAAATGCAGTAATTTAATCAAAATTGATATTTAAAACTTGGTCAAATCTTGCTCTTTGGTTAAATAGGAGTATCAAAACAGTTATTATGGTTATAATTGATATATATGTTTTTAATATATACATTGGTTTATTACATCTTTAATGAAATACAGCACCCGATATTTGAGTGTTTAACTGCATGAGTTCATACAAGCAGGTTAAGTACTTTGAGCTTGCTTCCACATACTGTGAATTAATTCTCTGAAACAATTTAGTACTGTTTATTATATTTTTCTTGAATATGTGTTACGTTGATATTTCAGAGTAAAGTGTGTTCACTTTAATAATATTTATTGTATGTTCTTATATGTTACATTTGCTAGTCCTCTGATCAATATTAAAAAGGAGAAGGTTGAGATTAAAACAACAAACCCCGCCAATACAGTAGATGCCTTAATTCTTATTTTTTTCTTTGTTATTATGAATAATTTAAGTTTTATACTAGGGAGATTAGGAGTCGTACATAATTTCACTTCGGCGTCTAAAAGGTTAAGTTTTTTAGTGCAAAGTTTTATTTGTCTGTTTAGTTTCAATATTTCCCTTTTGTACTAATACAGTAATGCCCGAAAAGACACTATTGACTGTTATAGATTTTATTTAGCTGAAAATTTTTTTTGTGGTATGATTTCCAATTAGACAACCATCAACCAGATACTATAAAGGACAATTCTAAAACATATCATATTTAAAGTATTGGGGTTTATCAAATGTATAAACTAAGTAGATCATCATAGTACATGTATCTGTTATTATTTCTAAAAATGAAAATTGATTCATGTGATTTGTCTGATTTTTTTTTTTTTAATTTTCTGAAGTTTTTCAATATAAAAAGATATATAACAGCAAAGAAAAAGATCAGGTGTTACGCATAAGAGTTCCGATAATTTGATGATATTAAACCTTGCTTTAACGGAAATAAATTTTGAAAATTAGTAGAAGGTTAAGCCTTAATCATATCGTCCATAAACAATGTCTTTTATATCTTGTATAACTGAAGTATTACATCAGCTGAATTTAAGATATGAATTATCAAAATCCCACTCAATTAGTTTACCTTGTTTATTTTTAACAGTTTATGCTGACTGATTTATTGGTTGATTGATTGTTTAGCGCCACTTTCAGCACTATTGGCTATATCGTGGCGGGCAGTTTTTATTGGTTGAGGAAGCCGGAATGCCCGGAGAGTACCACCAACATCCGGCTGGACAACTGACAATCCTAGTCAATTTAGATTGGAGTCGAACGCACCTTTCACGTGCGGAGTTCGTACTCACACAACTTCAGTGTTGACAGGCTAGTGATACAGTAGATGAACTACTCAGTTTATAATAGACATCTTCACCGTAAGACAGAACCGAAACAGAAAAAGGAACAGATACCGAAACCAAAACCAAGGATAGTTGAGTGAGTGGAAATTCTTGTATGTAAAAGTGAGTGTTATTAGGTTTTAGTGAACTCAACCCGTATATTTATTTATAGTTTTCTGATGATATTTGCATCGATTATTACATGTAATTGAAACATCAATTAACATGAATGTACCGATGTATTTAAATAGTGAACATTTTTATCGCTGAATACACTTATTAAGTAATATACAACTAAATGTGTCAGTTTAACTTTATTTATGATGCACAATCATCATGAAGAATGTTTCGCCAAAGGGACATTGCTGCACATAGTTATACAATTGGTATACTATCGCTTATGATTTTATAAATGTTTGTTTGTCAAATGGGATTTCTACATTATCTCGTCTTTTTCAAGTCTTTTCGTTGACAAGTTTGGGTTGATCGTGTTTATAGCATCTAGCGTTCTAGAAGTATTTGGTATAACAATGGGTTGGTCAGCTCTAGATATTCG